AATCCACGCGCCTGCCGACCCGGGCCTCGTCGGCGCGCACCGATTTCCGCATCCGGCTCCGCACGTTTCCGGTCTTAACAGGGCCGTTCTGGGAGGTAGGTGCGGAATCGTGCCGATGGCCTCAGCTGTGGGTACTGTCGAAGTGTGCTTGCCGAGGTGGGCTGCCGCGCGCCTCGGACCCAGCCCACGCTGGTAGCGCGTGTCTAAGACCTTTGCTTGGGAGAATGGCTTGGGTGAGACGCACGTGGAGGTCCCTCCCACACCCAACCTGGAGGCAAGGGAAGGGATGCCTAGATTTGCATCTCTGTCTGTGGGGCCCGCGCTGCGGATGCCCGGGTAATCCAGAGTTCACCCACGCCATACTCCTCACTGCTTCCGAGTGTACTTAGATGTTTCCAACTATTCCGACCTCCTAGACTGACAGAGTTCGAGGTCCATGGGCCTTCCAACCCCTTCAGTTTACAAGTGAGACTGGGACCTAGAGAGGGGGAATGAGACCATACGGCTGGTGAATTGTGGGCTTCGCTAGAATCCAGGCTTCCTGGCACACTCTAGTACTCCTTCCATCATTTCACGTTTCGCTTTCATTTCCCCTCTCTCTGGGAGGTTGCTCTGATGTCTTTCCTCCCTTAAGTTCTACAGAGATCGATCCTACCTGATTTTTCTCCCAGGCTCATGGGCTCAGTTATCAGGATCACTTTCTTCCCCAGGGTGTACTACAGACCTCCACATGTCGGACAATGGGATTCAGCAGAGAATGAGTCCCCCATCCTTCCATCAATAAACCACTCTTCCCAGCTGTTCTTCCACCATCCGCTGGCCTCATGTCTACCTTACTCCTCAATCTGGATTTTGGGGAACCTCCTCCCAAAAAGACATTAGAGGGAAATGCCAAACACCGAAATTTTGTCAAGAAGCGGCGGCTCTTGGAACGGAAAGGCTTTCTAAATAAAAAGAACCAGCCCCCTAGCAAGGCTCCTAAGTTGCAGTCAGAACCTTTGAAGAAAGGGGAAACTCCCAAAGTGGATGGCACTTGGAAGATCCCTCCCTTCCCCAAAAAAAGGAAGACAGCTGCCTCCAGCGGTGAGTCAGAACAGTCCCTAGACAAGAAAGCTACAGTTTCTTGGCTAACCCCTGCCCCTTCAAAAAAAGCTGATTCTGTTGCAGCTAAAGTAGATTTGCTAGGGGAGTTCCAGAGTGCCCTTCCAAAGATTAAGAGTCATCCAACCCGCTCCCAGAAAAAGGACCCCCAGAAGAAATCCTCTCAGAAGAACCTTGTCCAGAAGAATGCCTCACAGAACTCTACCCAAGCTCACTTGGAGAATAAGTGCTCCGGAGCGTCCCAGCAGTTGCCAAAGAAGATGGTGGCGATCGATTGTGAGATGGTGGGCACAGGACCCAAAGGGCACGTTAGTTCCTTGGCTCGATGTAGCATTGTCAACTACAATGGAGATGTACTTTACGATGAGTACATTCTCCCCCCCTGCCGCATTGTGGACTACCGCACCAGGTGGAGTGGTATCCGGAAGCAACACATGGTGAAGGCTACACCCTTCAAGATTGCTCGTGGCCAGGTAAAAAGCGTGGGGCATGGTGGTGGCCATGGGATGGAGAGAGTGCCAAGTCATTTTTCCGTAAAGGGTATCTTTCTGAGAAGGCACCAAAGGATTGTGGAGCGAATGTCAGTTGATAAAAGCCTCCCGTTGGGGTGAAGGAGCAGTGAAAGGAAGTCAGTTAGCTGGTCACAGTGTTCATTAGTCAGGACCTGTTTTAGATCCCATGTGGGATCCTGATCTGGGAAACTGGGAACCTGATAGATAACAGCCAGTGATGAAACTGGACAGAAGCCGGGTTTGGTAGCTCAGCCTGTAATCCTG